TCTTTGCATATTCCCTACACTTTTGTCTGCTGAAATGTAGGAGGAGTGAAGTATAATTTCTGAGTTGTAACTACTCAGCAGTTCTTGACGATCAGAGGCCTGGTTGTAGAAATACACTGAAATGTGTTCCACGCTACATAGTTATAACACTGTGATGACCTTATATTTGTCTTCCATGGTTCTTTCTTATGAAATACAATTACACTACATAAACTTTGAAAAAAAATGTTGTTACTAATTTGAAAGTGTTATTTCTTGTTTAATTGTGAGGTACTTACATTGTTATACACCAGAAACTTCATTTTTGCGGCTGCCACAAGCTACATTGAATTGGTTGAGGCTCTAAGAGATATTCGTTGAAAAACTATAGTAAAATATGCTGCAGGATGTCCCACAAAACAAGATTTTTGCAGTTTAGTCAACTTTTCTCATGTTTTATGATAGAACCATTTTGGAAAGTACATTTATAAGTTTTTGGAAACTTTTGAAGCTTTTAAACAGAGGCTGGATGGCCATCTGTCAGGGGTGCTTTGAATGCAATATTTCTGCTTCTTGGCAGGGGGTTGGACTGGATGGCCCACGAGGTCTCTTCCAACTCTGATTCTATGATTCTATGAACCCAGGAACAAAAATTGTGTTACATAGTGTTATCTCACAGAAAACTGTAGTGTCCTGGCTTTCAATCTTTGGTCCTCCTGCAGATTTGGACTTTAGTTTCCCAAAATACTAAGCAGTATGGTCCATGATGAAGGATTCTTGGAAATGAAGTAAAAAATGCCTGGAGATCCAAATGTGAAAACCCCTGCTCTTTTGTTGTATTTGTTTTCTGTACTAAAGTACAGAAAGGAAATGGACTTTTGTACTAATATGTAAACAGTGGATGAGTGAAACAATCAGACACGCCTAGGCCAGGCAGCAGATCTCCAAATAACTATTACTAAAACCCCAGCTGGAAATATGAATCCCTCTTCCTCAATCTATCTTTGGTGAAAAACAGGCAGACACAACCCACTTCACCTCCCTGACTGTGGTCTGGGATTCCCCCTAGTGTTGGTAGAGTCACATAACCGTTAAAGATCAGTATTTTCTACTCACAAAAATGTTAGTTCCCATTACATGCCACACAAAGCAAAATCATAATGACAGGCCCATTAGTAGTAACTAGGCAAATATGCATCAATAAATATAGTTCAGCTTCTGTAAACATTTTATCAGGTGAAAGAGTAAATCGTATTTAAATTGCTTTCATCAAAAAGCAACGTTTTGACTATTCCGAAAAGGCATTAGTTCCTAATTGTGTACTGAATAAGAACATCTCTTAAAGATCATCCTGTAATTCTTTTATTCAATTGTGGGTTTCAACCTCTGCTTTGAAAAATGTTTATTATATTCCTGTAATCCCAAAGGATGACAATAAGTGAGAGGGAAAGCAACAGATTTGCATATACGTAATGGTGCTATGCATGCTCAAGTATCAGGGGAATCTAATGTGAATGAAGAGATGAACCACAATGTTTTGTAGCTTTCTGCAAATGCTTCTTGTTTCCATATTCCTCCCCCCGCCACACACACCCAACATTCCTTGTTTCCCTTTTGGGTTTTACCTGCACATATCTACATCCTGGCTTTCATTGTAACAGAAAGTATTGAAATGTGCCATAAAATGAAATAATTTTGATGTTCCAAAGTTGGCATTACTGAAATCATATACAAGGGTTATCCGGAAAGTAAGGTTACAAGGCACGTAGCCCTTGCGGGGAATTTTCTCGGGGGAAGTTGGTATCATTGCCGGGTAGTGGGAAGTCAACGGAAGCAAACAAGCAGTGCCAGTCGTCAGTAGCTCATCCATTGGCATTGTGGTGAAGTTTAGAGAAGAGTATCCTCATTCTCTTCCCTCCAAGTGCAAAGTTTGCACTGTAATATGCAACCTAAATGCTAAGGGCATGAACGCTGCTAGAATTCATCACAAAATCATTTCAGTTTATGGAGAGGACTTAATGTCAAGGCAGCATGTGACAAAATGGGTATATATTTTGTGAGAATATATTGTGAGACCATGGAGAAACTTCGCAGAGCCATCCAAAACAAACATCTTGGAATGTATGCGTAAATGCCGTGGATGTAGCGTACCTGGATTTCAGTAAGGCCTTCGACAAGGTCCCCCATGACCTTCTGGCAAGGAAACTAGTCCAATGTGGGCTAGGCAAAACTACGGTGAGGTGGATCTGGAATTGGTTAAGTGGACGAACACAGAGAGTGCTCACTAATGCTTCCTCTTCATCTTGGAAAGAAGTGACAAGTGGAGTGCCGCAGGGTTCCGTCCTGGGCCCGGTCCTGTTCAACATCTTTATTAATGACTAGATGAAGGGCTAGAAGGCATGATCATCAAGTTTGCAGACGACACCAAATTGGGAGGGATAGCCAATAGTCCAGAGGACAGGAGCAGAATTCAAAACGATCTTGACAGATTAGAGAGATGGGCCAAAACTAACAAAATGAAGTGACAAATGCAAGATACTCCACTTTGGCAGAAAAAATGAAATGCAAAGATACAGAATGGGTGACGCCTGGCTCGAGAGCAGTACGTGTGAAAAAGATCTTGGAGTCCTCGTGGACAACAAGTTAAACATGAGCCAACAATGTGATGTGGCGGCAAAAAAAGCCAATGGGATTTTGGCCTGCATCAATAGGAGCATAGTGTCTAGATCTAAGGAAGTAATGCTACCCCTCTATTCTGCTTTGGTTAGACCACATCTGGAATATTGTGTCCAATTCTGGGCACCACAATTCAAGAGAGATATTGACAAGCTGGAATGTGTCCAGAGGAGGGCGACTAAAATGATCAAGGTCTGGAGAACAAGCCCTATGAGGAGCGGCTTAGGGAACTGGGCATGTTTAGCCTGAAGAAGAGAAGGCTGAGAGGAGATATGATAGCCATGTATAAATATGTGAGAGGAAGCCACAGGGAGGATGGAGCAAGCTTGTTTTCTGCTTCCTTGGAGACTAGGACGCGGAACAATGGCTTCAAACTACAAGAGAGGAGATTCCATCTGAACATGAGGAAGAACTTCCTGACTGTGAGAGCCGTTCAGCAGTGGAACTCTCTGCCCCGGAGTGTGGTGGAGGCTTCTTTGGAAGCTTTTAAACAGAGGCTGGATGGCCATCTGTCGGGGGTGCTTTGAATGCAATATTCCTGCTTCTTGGCAGGGGGTTAGACTGGATGGCCCATGAGGTCTCTTCCAACTCTTTGATTCTATGATTCTAAGATAGAGCTAAGGTGCTGTGGCCGGTGTTGGCAAGGAAATGCGCGTCCACATACCACTCATGCAACACAAGAGTTGTTGACTCCATGTGGTTGGGTTTCTTTAAGCCACCCCTCTCACAGCCCCAATCTCGCTCTCAGTGACTATAATCTGTTTACTAAATTGAAGGTACATCTGGATGGAAAATACTTTTCCGGCGACAATGAGGTGAAAATGCTAAAATTGATATAAGTTTTATTAAACTATATTCATTCTTTGTATTTTTAAAAGATCTTGTAACCTTACTTTCCGGATAACCCTCATATATATATATATATCAGCATATTGACATCTAACAGCATATTTTTACAAATACATCTAGGAGTCTGGCATTTTTAGTCACTTACAAATCCACCGCCAAAGCCCGACACTTGGAAGGCCATTGTACTTGGACAACGAGGGATCACCTAAGTATGGTGCCTTGTCACATAACTTTATTTGTCTTCTTAGTTTTAGACCTAGTAGTTAGCCATTTTAGGACAAGACAGTGTCACATAACCACATTTGTTGCAGACTTCCCCAAATTTTATCTTTGTCATGCCAGTAAAATGCCTTACCACTTTTCTGATAGGGCTCTCTCCCAGAAGATCACCAACTGTTGCCATCTGTGGACTCTGCATTAATTCATTTATTTCTTTGTTTGAAATGTCACTATCTTGCTTTGATTTTGTGTTTCCATCTCATATCCCTCCATATTTTCCCACTGGGAATAAAAGCAGAGATAATATTCCAAAAATTATACTAGGGAAGGAGGGAGCTAAGATTGTTGGGAGAAAGACATCATCCTTAAGCATGGGATAAAGATTCAGGTGACATCAAAATTTCTTCCATTTGGATAACACAAGCAGCATGAACTGTGATGAATAAAATATGACATTTAAAATACAAGACAAATGAGGGGTAAAAACACCTGGGATTTCTCTAAATCAATGATAGGAGAATACTGGAAAACTGATAAAAATTGTCAGTTGATGAATAGTAAAAAAAATAAAATCTGGATATCAAAATTAAGAGAAAAGGATTGAAAGCAGAAAACTCTGAGCAGAATTGTTTTTGTTTATGGATTCTACCTCTATTAAGAATCATTATTTCATTTTGTTATGTTTTGCTAAGTATATGTTTTCTATAAACCACTTTTTCTTATTTTGTTGGAAGAAAAAACCCAACAAATTAGCTCTTAACAACTCTTATATTGTTCTCGAACAATCTAGTCCTTTTGATGTTGCAGGGAAATAATGCTAGCATGAACTTTGAATTAATTCCAGTTCATCTTATACACTCACACACAGAATCATAGAGTTGGAAGAGACCTCATAGGCCATCCAATACAAATCACCCACAACAGATGGCTATCCAGCCTCTGTTTAAAAGCCTCCAAAGAAGGAGCCTCCAACACATATTCAAAATTACTTCATTCAAAACCATAGCTGGTCAATTGTTCCATACAAATTTCTTTGGTACATTCACTTTATTATTTGCATACCGATGGATATAAAATGGATACTAGGTATTTGGAAAATCAAGAGCATTCTAATTCTGTACTTGATGTAGCATTTTAGTTCAGAATTTAAAATACCCACAATCAGATTAAGCAAAATAATATTTCCAAAAGATAATATAAAAGAATTAGAACATTTAACTGGCCTGGAATAAAATTTTGTTTTCCAGTTTCCTGAAAAACATGCTGTAGCATCAGATGCTCAGTTAATCTACTGTCTTATTGTCCTGATAATCAAGGCATTGATCAGATTAGGACATGTTAATCTTGCCTGAAGATAGCAAAAGCTTCTTGTTTAGCTTTCATGCAGGATTTTGCAAATGATGTCACTTTCTGGAATGCTTCGGACAGGCCATCCCCTGTAATTGCACAACAGGGCTGTACGTACCAGTTTCGGTCAGCACAATGCTTCTTCATGTTGAGTGTTTTGGTTATTTCCTCAGCTCCCAGAGCACCACGAAGATCCTGCTTGTTGGCTAGGACAACCACAGGCACATTCTTGATCTTGTCGTTCTTCAAAATAATTGCCAGTTCTTTTTTCGACTCTTCCAAGCGCTGTTTGTTGGCGCTGTCCACAACATAGACCAGACAATCAGCATTTTCCAAATAGTGCTCCCAAACAGTCCTCATTTTGCGCTGGCCTCCAACATCCCAGACTGTTAAGGCAATGCCTGCTGTTGTTTCAATCATCTCCACGTTGAAGCCGATGGTTGGCGAGGTTGAGAAGACGTCATTGAATTTGAACTTGTACAAGAGGGTGGATTTCCCTGCCGAATCGAGTCCTAGCATTAGAATATGGGCTTGTTTGCTTTTAAACTGCTTAGAATGTGCGAGGCCCATCTTGTCTGCAAGACTGTAGTTTCTTTTTCGTTAAGATTTGTTTGTGCAGCAATGTGCTCGCTTTCTGTGTCTCTCAGATGAAGGATGGCGAGCAAAGAAAGCACAGCTTGCTGTATGTAACAAGGACAGAAGCATTAATGTATTTGCTCTGTGACTTGAGCATTGCTGCAGTATGCAAACAGAACTTTATTAAAATATAACTTTCACTGTCTGTTTGGAGGGTGGAGTTTTCAGAACAATGTTCAGTCACATAAGCCAAAGGTCGATCAGCACCAAAGTCGAGTGGATACAAACAGACTTTATCCTTTCCTTCTTGCGGTGTTTGCTATGGATTGGTGTCACTTTTATAAAAGTGTGGTTAAGCTGCGACATTTTTATTGTGCATTAAGTTGCCCTGCTGCAGCCTCCACGATTGTCTGTGGTTTTAGGGGGGTAATCAGCCCACTGTTCTAAGTTTTACTTGATTATCTTTCAGTTTTCAGCATATGTGTCTGTTGTTCTGTAGGTATTTTCAACTATTCTGCCCAATAGCCTTGGAATTACTTATTGCTGCTCTTGCTTCATGTACTCTAGGTTGTCAAAAATGTAAACTGATAGCACAATGGGTTAAACCGCTAGCTGCAGAAAATCTTGGTGATTGGAAGGTTGGCAGTTCAAAGCCGTGGGTCAGGGTGAGCTCCCGCCATTAGCCCTAGCTTCTGTCTACCTAGCAGTTCAAAAACAGTAATGTGATTAAACCAATAGGTACCATGATTTAAAAAGCCCCCATGGAGACATGCCAGCAATTCGATCAGGAAGGCGTCCACGGACAACAGGCTTCTTGGCATGGATAATGGAAGAAGAGCATCTCCTCATGGCCGGAGTTGAGCACGGCCATCAGATGTCAGAAATTTTAAAAGGGTGAAGTCTTTGCCTCTGTCTATGTACTATCTGTCTTTCTTGTTAACTGCATAATGGCATTGAATGTTTGCCATATATGTATTCTTGTAATCTGCTCTGAGTTTCCTGCTCTGAGTGGAATATAAATAAAGTATATATTATTGTAGGCTAGTTACCACAGATAAAGAATCAGTCGTATAACACAGCAAAGCAGGACAATAGCAAGAAAATGAAATGAGCTTAATTAGAAAGTGATAAAAGTCTTAACAGGACCCCTCTGCCAATGTAATCCATTATTTATAATTCATTCTCAAACACTACTTAGTGGCACGACACTGGAGATATCAATTTTTCAAAGAATTATGAACTAATTGCTGAAGGTGGCAGCCTGCAAAATTTAAAATTACTTATAACAAATAGGTTATCCTGACGAAAGCAAGAAGCACCAATATATTCTAGGTAAGTTGGAGCATGAGTCCACCATTGTAGCATTGGATTAATTTGAGGTAATGATTTTATTTGCAACAAAGGTTGACTCTGTTTAGCTCTTTTTAAAAAATATTTTTATTAAATACATTTTTTCTTTTATTTATACATAAAACAGGTTTTATGGACTCTGTTTAGCTCTGACTGGCTTGAACTCTGACCCTTTCTAGTTATAGCTTCCCCAGATGTGGAAGACTTTCTCCATAGAAATTCACTTGGTACCAGCCTTGTTTTCCTTTTGTAGTCAAGGCACAATAAAGCTTAATTTTTAAAATTTCACAGACCCAGTAAATATTTTTTTATTTTACTATTTTTAATATCTTGTTTTATTTTTTGATAGCTTCTCTCCTCCCATTCTGTGTTTTTATCAAGCTAGAATTGTAGTTTAGTTTTTAAAATTTGTCTTTTAAATTTTATTCTATATTTTTATCAGGCTAGTTCTTTTTATTTTTTGAATATATGACTTTATGTTTTGTTTTATGTTTTTTTTATAATAATGACGACTTGTTGCACAAATTATCTGCTTGAAGTGGATTATATCACAGTGTAGTCGCAGATAATCCAGTTTAAAGCAGATAATCTGGACTATCTGCTTTGATAACCTGGATTATATGGCAGTGTAGATGGGGCCTAAATTTCATAGAAGGACCATGTCTGAGTATTCCTCACCTAAGCAAATCCTATTTAATTTGTGGGATCACAATAAGCCAAGAGGTGACTTGAAAGCACATGCATACACATGTTGTTTACAAAATGCCTACAATCCATGTTATAAATGAAATATATTCCATCCAACGATTCCATCAGCACTGCCTCCAGAAAATCCTGCAAATCTCTTGGGAAGACAGGTGGACAAACGTCAGGGTGCTGGAAGAAGCAAAGACCACCAGCATCGAAGCGATGGTCCTCCGCCATCAACTCCGCTGGACCGGCCATGTTGTCCAGATGCCCAACCACAGTCTGCCAAAGTAGTTGCTCTACTCTGAACTCAAGAACGGAAAATGGAATGTTGGTGGACAGGAAAAGAGATTTAAAGATGGGCTCAAAGCCAACCTTAAAAACTCTGGCATAGACACTGAGAACTGGGAAGCCTTGGCCCTTGAGCACTCCAGCTGGAGGTCAGCTGTGACCAGCAGTGTTGCAGAATTTGAAGAGGCACGAATGGAGGGTGAAAGAGAGAAACGTGCCAAAAGGAAGGTGCGTCAAGCCAACCCCGACCGGGACCGCCTCCCCCATGGAAACCAATGCCCCCACTGCGGGAGAAGATGCAGGTCAAGAATAGGGCTCCACAGCCATCTACGAACCCACCGCCAGGACACCGAACTTGGAGGACCATCATCCTCGGACTACGAGGGATCACCTAAGTAAATGAAATATATACAAATCTCATTCTATTAATTCTCCCTCTGCCCCAGTACATGAGCTTAGTATTAAAATTATTTCTTTTGCAATCGTTTCCAGTTAAGTGGATTGTACATACAGTTCGTAACATTATCATGAACAGTGTCCATCCATGTTAGGAGCAATTTTTACAATTGGATTCTCTCTGTGTGCACTCTCTGATGTTATTCACTTCTTTTCTTTTTATCTCCCAAATAATTTCATCTATTTTTTCTCAGTCATGGCTGAATGTACATTTCTTATTCCAGGGCCCTTTCACACCACACAACTAGCACTATGATTCCAATTTTAACTACCATGGCAACATGCTATGAAATCCTTTAGGGGGGAATATTAAGAATTGTTAGCCAGGTAACACAAGTGATTCACCAAACTACTAAATCCCAGAATTTGGGGCTTTTTGTTATGATGTGCAGCATCAAAGTATTGCAGCATGCAGGGTCTCACATCACATTTCAGTTCTTTTGCTCTTTCTGTTCCAAATATAAAGCTCACTTTATGGGCCTTAGGAAAAACATGACTCACAAGAGGCCTCCATCAAATTAGGCTTCCAGGCAATCATTTGCACACAAGTAAGTAAACAAGAGATTTGCCTTGCTAACAGAAAGCTACCAGAGCCCAGATGTGAAACAAATCAATTCCAGCAAACTTCTGTATGGCGAAAGAGCTTATCAGGGCTACACCTTAACACTGAATTAAGGTGGGGCACTTGGCAGTTGTTGTGGAAGATATTAATATGATCTATGGGGCTTATGCAAAATAGTGAACAAAATGGAACTGGTATCCAAATTGTAACGTTTTGGATTCCGAGAGTGGAAACACCACTTATTTGGACTACAGCCCCCAGGAACGCTTTTAAGAATACGATCCAGTTTTTTTTGTTCTACTATGGAGTCCTGGGAACTGTAGGGTTGGCAAGGTCTTTTAACTTTCTGTGCCAAAGAGTTCAGGTAACTGACTCACCAAACTCCAATTCCCTGAATCCTGTGTAGCCATAGCAGTTAAAGCGGTACCAAACTGCATTAATTGTACAGTGTAGAGATGCACCCTCGGTTCAAAAAAGCCCACATCTGTCTTTCTTTTCCAGTTATGTTCGACTCTGGAGGTTGGTACTCATCTCCATTTCTAAGCTGAAGAGCTGGCGTTGTCTGTAGACACCTCCAAGGTCTCACCCAGGCCCGTAGCCAGGATTTCTTTCGGGGGGGGGGGCTGAATTTTTTTCAGGGGGGGTTTCGGGGGGGGCTGAGTTTTGGGGGGGGCTGAGTCTGAGTGAAAGAGGGTCTAGTCTAGCAAACCTTTTGTATCATTACCCCAATACCCCCATGCATATGGGATATATTGAGTATGGTGATCAGATCATGATATGAATAAACATAACAGTTTAAATAATGCACCAGTAAGGCCTTTTCGCACCACCATGAGAATTTCGGGGGGGTGGGCTGAAGCCCCTGCCCCCCCCCCCGGCTACATGCCTGATACTCACCCTCTCCCGGATTCGAACCGCAAACATTTTGGTCAGTGCTTCTAGAACATGGCCATATATCCCGAAAAAACTACAACTCCTCAGTGGAAAGATCTCCTTCTGTGCTAAGCCACAAGATCTCTCTCCTGTGCTTCATTGGTGTAACATAATAATAACAATAATAACAATAATAATGGTTAAAGGTAAAGGTTTTCCCCTGACATTAAGTCCAGTCATGTCTGACTCTGGGGGTTGGTGCTCATCTCCATTTCTAAGCTGAAGAGCCAGCGTTGTCCGTAGAAACCTCCAAGGTCATGTGGCTCCATGACTGCATGGAGCACTGTTACCCTCCCGCCGGAATGGTACCTATTGATCTACTTACATTCGCATGTTTTCGAACTGCTAGGTTGGCAGAAGCTGGGGCTAACAGTGGGAGCTCACCTCACTCCCCGGATTTGAACCGCCAACATTTTGGTCAGCAAGTTCAGCAACTCAGTGGTTTAACCCACTGCACCACTGGGAGCTCAGTGTGTGTGTGTGTGTGTGTGTGTGTGTGTGTGTGTGTGTATACACACAGTATGAATATATATATTTATTTTGTATATATATTAATATACATGCAAATACACATGCATATATATGTATACAAAGTGCATATGTATACACACACATGCATACTTGTATTTGTAAACAGATACATGAAGCTCAACTGAACTGCTGCAGAAGTAAACACAGTCTCCTTAAGTCTATCGACTCCTTTCTTTAGTCTACTGCTTCCTTTTGCCGGAAGCTTTATTGTTTTTTTAAGCTTCCCTTCCAGCGGGCGGAAAGCGGAATTGCAACATTGGTGCAGACACCAGAAAAGAGATGCGATTAGGGCTGAAACTTGGAGAAAAAGGAGAAAAACAAAACCCTTTTCTATGCCGGTGAGTAAGCAAAGCCTGGGCTGTTGTGTCTCTAATGGGGTGGAGCAGATTGCAGAAAATACATAATACATCACAAAGTATTTTGTTCCCTCCTTGGTTGATTTAGAAACCTATATATTGAAGAATACATGGCAGAATAATGACATAACGGTGCAGCTGCACTGCATAATTCATGCGCTTTTGGCACCAAACTACCATGGCTGCAATCTGATACTGCCAGGGCTCAATGCCAAGGAGTCGTGAGATTTGTAGTTTTGCAAGGCCTTTTGTCTTCTCTGGCAAAGGCTGCAGGTGCCTTACCAAACTGCAACTCCCAGGGCCAAAGTACAACCCCCAATGATTCCATAGCATTGAGTCATGGCAGTTAAAGTGGTGTCAAACTGAGTTAATTCTATAGTGGGGAATAGATGCACCCACAATCTGAGTTACAGATTCCACCTTGCACTGCAATGTTGTATCAGCAATCCTTTTGCATTGTCAAAGCAGAGGTTTGCCAACTTGGCTGGAAGTGTTAATCCTGTGAAACAGGAATGGGCAAACTTTGGTCCTCCAGGTGTTTTGGACTTCAACTCCCACAATTCCTAACAGCTGGTAGGAATTGTGGGAGTTGAAGTCCAAAACACCTGGAGGACCAAAGTTTGCCCATGCCTGCTGTGAAGAGTCTGTGCTGTGTGTATATATGTATGTATGTGTGTAATATATATAAATATATATATTCCAGAATTATAAACTATGAAATCTGTAATATATTTTAGGGAACATGCTGTACATGCACATGTGGGCTGTTGCAAAAAATATTCTGGGGACGTTGCTTGGCGTCTTTTTCCATGCCAAAATAGCAAGGCTGTGTTTTTGTTTCGATTAGTTTTTCCTTGTAAATAATAAGAAGTAAAGGCCATATTTTCCGAACATCCCAGCAGAAATACTTAGTAGAAACTCCCAAGAGAGAGAAGCCATGCCCTATCGTTGCTTTTTCTCCCCAGCAACTTCGTGTTGAAATCACTTGTGAAACTAGAACACCCATGGTTCCCTAGCATTGAGCCATGGCAATTGAAGAGGTGCCAAACTGCATTAATTCTACAGTGTAGATGCAGCCTTAATGGGGAAGATGGGAGCTGGGTGTTTTCTATTGTGATTCCGCACTGCCATACCAAAAGATGGTTAGGAAAATTATATTGCAGCCACTAAGTCAACAAAGGTACAGGTAAAGATGACTGTGAGTTTTAAAGGTTATTTTAAGTGTATTTATGGAGTGTATTTAAAGTAAGGCTATTTTAAGTGTATTTATGCACCGGAAGCACAGTGGGTTAAACCCTTGTGCTGACAGGACTGAAGACCGACAGGTCGCAGGCTTGAATCTGGGAGGAGCGCAGATGAGCTCCCTTTATCAGCTCCAGCTTCTCATGTGGGGACATGAGAGAAGCCTCCCACAAGAATGGTAAATTATCAAAAACATCCGGGCGTCCCCTGGGCAATGTCCTTGCAGATGGCCAATTCTCTCACACCACTGCTATATGGGGTCATGTATTAATTGGTGGTCCAATGACAAATGACATTGCCCTTCCAGCCCTAACTATTATTGGCTTTTGCACTTCTCCTTTTGTCCTGAAACTATTGCACAAGCTCTTAGTCCTCTGAGTTCAGTATTTATTCCTGTTCAAGCTAAGGATTGTTTTTATGATGTTGTGTTGTGTTTTTGTGATAATTTTATTTTTGATTATTTTTTTATTTGATTTTTTATTTGATTTTATTGTGTCGTGTTTCAACCTATGTTTGTCCGGGCTCGTCCCCATGTAAGCTGCTTTGAGTCCCTTCGTGGAGATGGAGGTCATATAATTATAATATGGAGGTCATATAATTATAATCATATTATTATTATTATTATTATTATTATTATTATTATTATTATTATTATTAACTAGCCGTCCCCTGCCACACGTTGCTGTGGCCTACATGGGGGTTCTGTGTGGGAGGTTTAGCCCAATTCTATCGTTGGTGGGGTTCCTAATGCTCTGTGATTGTAGGGGAACTATAAATCCCAGCAACTACAACTCCCAAATGTCAAGATTCTATTTTCCTCAAACTCCACCAGTGTTCACATTTCTGCATATTGAGTATTCGTGTAGAGTTTGGTCCAGATCCATCATTGTTTGAGTCCACAGTAATCTCTGGATGTAGGTGAACTACAACTCCAAAACCAAAGGACACTGCCCATCAAACCCTTCCAGTATTTTCTGTTGGTTGTGGGAGAACTGTGTGCAAAGTTTGGTTCAATTCAATCGTTGGTGGGGTTCACAATGCTCTTTGATTGTAGGTGAACTATAAATCCCAGCAACTACAACTCCCAAATGACTATATATATATATATATATTAGTGAAGGACATACATTGGGTTGTTAGGTGTGTTGTGTCCACATTTGGTGTCAATTCATCCAGTGGTTTTTGAGTTCTGTTAATCCCACAAACGAACATTACATTTTTATTTATATAGATTCAGTGCACGACATATATTGGCATGGGAGGAGGTGCTGAGGACTTTCAAGTACCAGTATTTTGAATTTTACAAATTCAGTGGATCAATATAAGTATTAAACAACTTCTCCCAATAAGCAGCCTAGCTGCTATATTTTGAACCACCTTTTCAAGCTGTCTCCAAACATCAATCTTTGGGTAACACATCAAACAGAATGGGAATGTTGGGCTTCAGCTTTTATTATGCCTTGTTGTTTTAACTATGCCAGCTAGATTGGAGTAGAAGTCAGGCAGTTTACCACCCTGAAAGTTACACAAAACATATACAGTTGGCCCTCTGTAATCAGGTTGTTCCAATGTGCTTTTGATTAATCAGTTCACTAGATTACTTTGGCCCCTCCAGCCATAACTAAATATCTGTCTCCTGCACTTTACCATTGTCCCTGCCCTATAGTTGTATTGTACTAATTGACTTGGCCCTTCTAGCCCATGCTTATCATCTGGCTCCTGCACTTTTTATCAGACCTGTCCTTGCAACTGTTTTGCACAAGCTCCTGCCTTGCCCTTAACTTAGTATATGGCCACTATGTCAGGCTATTGGTTGTTGTTGATGGTTATCTTTTTATGATGTTTGCATTTGTAATGTTTACTGTGTTATATTTTAATCTCTGTCTGGACTTGGTCCCCATGTAACCGCCCCGAGTCTCTTCAGAGAGATGGTGGCAGGATACAAAAATAAAGTTGTTGTTGTTGTTGTTATTATTTGAAACACAACAAGATTAGTACACAGCAAACAAGATCACTATGCTGGTTGTTGTATTGGATCACACGTCGGACACTTCCCAAGTGTCTAGGACTATGTGATGTATCGGTGAATAATGCGTGCAGATCCCAGTAGGGTCGCCTTTTGCAGCTGACAGATGGTAATTTTGTCAGCGCCGATTGTGTTCAAGTTCAGGCCAAGGTCTTTAGGCACTGTACCTAGTGTGCCGATCACCATTGGGACCACCTTTACTGACTTGTGCCAGTCTTTGCAGTTCAATCTTTAAATCCTCATATTGTGTCAGCTTTTAAAATAATAATAATAATAATAATAATAATAATAATAATAATAATAATCCAACTTTCCATGACTTTGGAATATTCTACACTTAAAAAAAAAATCCAAAGAGCACATCTTGATTTTTCCATTTATATAATAAACAACATTTTAGTACATCATTGTATCTGCAGTAATCAGACTTGAGCATCGACAGATTTTAGTATCCATCGAACTAAACCCCAGTATGTACTAGGGAATTTATAGAGAACCCATAAAATACATATTTTAAATTAATTTAAATGCAATTGGTAATAAAACCTATGAAGTTAGGAGGCCTTTGATACTGTCTGATAATGGCAGGGTCTTTTGAAGTGACTGGATAGTTAACGTTTCCACTGTTATGAACTACAGTAGTATTGGGATGGCAGGCTGGGGACTCTCTGATGCATGTAGCTGTCTTTCCTTTTTTGCTCTCATTGGAAAGTCTACAGCTGCAGATCTGTAATTCACTTGTAATTTAATTGCCGAATGCCCAACGAGATTACGGGTTTCTGCACTGAGACATTTCAGAGAAAAGGATTTGTGGTGTGTGAAATGGGACAACATCATAATGACCATACCAATTATTCCCAAATTATTTGAGAACCCTGTGGTAGTTAACGGTTTGCCATTTTAACAGAGAGCTTGCCGCTTACATTATGGTAACTGCAGCAGGGGGCAGCAAATGCCTTTTTCAAAGTAGCGATCCTTGCAGTTTCCACTTGCTCTGGGAAATTAAAACTGGAGTCAGCTATGAAACTCTTGTGGGAAGAAAAAGTGTTTTTAAAAAAGTGCTCATGATCTCTAAATAGGTGGAAGAATACTTCTGAAATTGAAAGCGAATTCACTTGGCAAACTTGCTCTATGGCTTCCTCTGTCTTATATGTGACACTTCATTTAAGTAATTTATCTGTTAACATATTAGGAGCCCCTGTTGGCACAATGGGTTAAACCCTTGTGCCAGGAGGACTGAAGACCGACAGGTCGGAGGTTTGAATCCGGGGAGAGCGCAGATGAGCTCCCTCTGTCAGCTCCAGCTCCCCATGTGGGGACATGAGAGAAGCCTCCCACAAGGATAATAAAACATCAGTGCATCACCTGGGCAATGTCCTTGCAGATGGCCAATTCTCTCACACCAGAAGCAACTTGCAGTTTCTCAAGTCGCTCCTGACACAAACACACACACCAAAGTTAACATATTTATATTCCACCCCATATATTGAAAGATCAGGGTGGTGAACAAGTAAAACATTGCCAAATGTAAAACAATAATTGAAGCAGGGTAGAAACCTGTTAAACAAATTGTCTAAAAAGATTACAACTGTTCAAACCTGTATCTACATGTAATTTTAATGAGAAGGGAAACAATATTATATATTCTCTATAATATGTATCTAGAAGAAGCAATTCCAAGGAACACATGTATTTTGTTAAGTGAGATATATCCATATACTGTGTTGTCGAAGGCTTTCATGGCTAGAATCACTGGGTTGCTGTGAGTTTTCCGGGCTGTATGGCCATGTTCCAGAAGCATTCTCTCCTGTCATTTCACCCACATCTATGGCAAGCAACCTCAGAGGTTGTGAGTTCTGTTGGAAACTAGACAAGTGAGGTTTATTTATCTGAAATCCACAAGCATGAGGACAATTTCATCAGAAAGGAGGAAGCCATGAAAATGAATAAAATCTGGCTACCAGTATTTAAAAACGCCAAAATCAGGACTGTAAATAAAGGGGAACACTAAAAAACAGGGGAATTCCTGACATGAAACAATCAGAGCCAGCTAACACCTCCAAACAAATGTTATGTGCGGGTAGGAGAAACTGATCCTGGTGTCAGTTCTGATGAATGTAATAGAACTTCCAGGCAGGAAGCAGCCAGGCTTTGAAGCTGCAAGGCCATTCAATGCTAATCAAGGTAGCCAATTGAAACATTCACACTTGCCTCAAGCAGACAAGAGTTCTTTCTCCCACCCTGGACATTCCACGGATATATAAACCTCACTTGCCTAGTTTCCAAACAGACGTTACAACCTCTGAGGATGCCTGCCAGATTGTGGGCAAAACGTCAGGAGAAAATGCTTCTGGACCATGGCCATACAGCCTAGAAAACTTACAGCAGCCCTATGGCATCTTCACTTTGCATCTTCATCTTTGCTTTGTGATATATTGCTTTCTTCATGCATCTTTACATATGTCTCTCTGTTATGAAATAATAACATCTCCCTCTAGTGGTCAATTTCAACAAAAGTTTGTTTTCCCACTTACCACAAGTTTTCTGGTGTAAGAACAACTTCAAAGTTGTTTCCAAAGTGTTAACTGGAAATCTCTTCAGGTTTTTTTTTATTTGCATTATAGCATCAATCCCCTTAATATAGACACAAACCACACAACATTCACATTAGATCTTTATTTGCTGCCTGTAAAATTGTGATTTATTTTGGTGTGAAAATGCTTAGGGATAGAAAAATCAGAAACGTACATTTCAAAATGGGAAAGAGGAATAATGCTTCAATTTTTTTACATCAAAAAGGCTGAAATCTGATATATATCATAATGTGCACATGTCTACACCCCAAAGCCAAGGGGGGCTCATTATCTTGCTTCCATATATCTGTTGGGCAACAATGGAAAGAATATTATTGCTTGGTTTCCAGTAGTTTTGAGGAATGATCACCCCATTTCCCCAAGAAGGAAGGAAGGAAGGAAGGAAGGAAGATGTTTAGATCTCCCAATTCCTGTTCACCTTTGGTATTATCCAGGATGCCTCATGGATACCCAAGATGGTGGATGCTCAAGTCCCATTATATACAATTTTGTTGTAAGGTAACATCCCTTATTTAAAATGGTGAACAACTCATACGAGGTGATGTAGAGAGGCTGAGGATCTATGAAATGACAAGAGATAGCAGCAGGATATGCCAACATGCCAGTCTGGAATGTTTCCCCACAATATTTTCAAGCCTCAGTTGGTTGAATCCATGGATACTGAGAGCCAGCTGCTCTATGTAATGGTTGCATGGGTGAATGCACTCTCAGTAGCATCAACTCTAAAGCACCGGATCTTATGCATTGAGAGTATATGCATACTGCAGTGTATGAAAAGGCAATGCCATACATTGCAAAGCCAACCCTGCAAGGTAGGAACTGCTAGAGCTACAGAGCCTGGGTCAGGGAAGGCTGAAGATCTCTCCACCTGTCCTTCTCTTCCTTTTTGGAAACAGATGGTGAATCCTCCCACCAAAAGCCCTCCTCTGCTGTGATCAGCTAGCCTCTCAGACAAGAGGAGGGTTGTTTCTGGACTCCAAGCGGGGAGGGAAGAACAGGCGTGTTTGGCGCATGGCAGCTTGGTGCACATGTGTGAGTGAGGTAGAGCGTGCGAGGTTGGAGGGAGGCTCGCGCCAGCAAGTCCCTTCATGGCATGGGGGTTCTGTGTGGGATGTTTGGCCCAACTTTATTGTTGGTAGGGTTCAGAATGCTCTTCGATTCTAGGCGAACTATAAATCCCAGCAACTACAACTCCCAAATGTCAAGGTCTGTTTTCCCCAAACTCCACCAGTGTTCACATTTGCGCATATTGAGTATTCTTGCCAAGTTGGTCCAGATCCATCATTGTTTGAGTCCACAGTGCTCTCTGGATGTAGGTGAACAACTCCAAAACTCAAGGTCAATGTCCACCAAACTCTCCCAGTATTTGCTGTTGGTCATGGGAACTTCTGTGTGCCAAGTTTGGATCAATTCCATCATTGGTGGAGTTCACAGTGCTCTTTGGTTGTAGGTTAACTATAAATCCTGGAACTACAACTCCCAAATGACAAAATCAATCCCCCGCAACTCCACCAGTATTAAAATTTGGGCGTATCGGGTATTTGTGCCGAGTTTGTTCCAGTAAATGAAAATACATCCTGTATATCAGATATTTACACGGTGATTCATAAAAGTAGCAAAATGACAGTTATGAAGCAGCAATGAAAATAATTGTATGGTTGAGGGTCACCATGACATGAGGAACTGTATTCAGGTTTTGCCACTTTAAAAAGGTTGAGAAATACTGTTCTATATCTTTAAGGAAGAAAAACCTTAAGTTTTGACAGTAGCTAAAAAGCAAGTGCTGGATTCAGTACTACGGATTATCGCCACAAAACACCAATTTAAGGAGGTGAGTTTATTAACAACGTTTGGAGAAAAGGAGTTAGAAATGGAATGATTCCTTGATAAATATAACAAAGCATGCAAAATAATAAAAGTACTGGTATATTTTAGTTAACTAAGTAGACATGTTCCTGGACTATGCTTCTTGGCACCAGAGGTAGAAGTAGTATGAAAAGATTTGAAGGCACCTGATTCTGTCTGATCTTGGAAGGTAAGCAAGAGCCAGTTCTGATTAGTACTTTGACGAGAGACCGCTAATGAATACCAGGTTCTGTAGGCTATATTTCAGAGGTAAGACCACCTCTTGGGTATTATTTGCCTAAGTAAATCCTATGATATTCTTGGGATAGCCATAAGTTGACAGCTGACGAAGGCACATATGCACACAAGTTACTGCACAACAAAAAGCTCAGGTCTACAAGCTATTTGAAACTAACTTTCAAGTTCTCAAAATATTTTTGGAGTGCAACTCCTATTAGCTCTAGCAGTCTTAGCCAATGCTGAGAGATTATGGGAACTAGAGTCAACAAGGTATTCTATATGCTTGTGTTAAGACTATATTACTGCCATACTAATTCTTTCCATTTTTTTCTTTTTCAGCACATAATTTATTGCCCAACCCAGTTGTCCCTATTCCATTTAGACCTCCAAAACCCTTTTGTGTCACTTCATAGTTGGAGTTGAATGGCTGCAAAATACCCGAAAAGGCTGTTTTGTGGTTTGTCTCTTGTCGTCGTTATTTTACTGACATGGTATATGGCATTTCCTTCCCACACTGTGATAAAACACAAAAACTGGATGTATTTCTATGACTATGAGCCTGTCTACAAGCCGAATTTCCACTTCATATTACGTGAGCGAGTAACATGTGAAGCCCACAATCCGTTTCTGGTCATCTTGGTGATTTCAAGACCTACGGAAGTGAAAGCGAGGCAAGCGATTAGGATGACTTGGGGCTCCCAAAATTCCTGTGGGGGAAAGAAGTTGTGATGCTCTTCTTACTGGGCAGAGGGACAGAGAAGGAGGATCTTGGAGCTTTATCCATACGAGATGAAAGCATTCTTTACGGAGACACCATCCAGCAAGATTTCCTTGACACCTATGAAAACCTTACCTTGAAAACTATAATGGTGTTCAGGTGGGTCACTGAGTTTTGTCCGAGTGCTCAGTATATGATGAAGACAGATGCTGATGTTTTCATCAACACAGGCAATTTAGTCAAGTTTCTTCTAAATTCAAACGCCTCAGAAAACTTCATGACTGGCTACCCTCTGGTGGAAAACCATCCCCACCGAGGATTTCATTGGAAAACTTATATTTCTTATACCGACTATCCATTTAGTGTTTATCCTCCATATTGTGGTGGATTTGCTTATATACTTGACACCAAACTAGCTCGCAAGGTTTACGAAATGATGAGCCATGTTAAACCTATTAGGTTGGAAGATGTCTATGTTGGGATTTGTTTGAATATACTTGGGGTGGGTATCTCTATTCCAAATGATGACAAACTCTTCTTTTTGTACAAAATTAAGTTTGATGTTTGTACGTACAAGCACTTGGTTGCTGTGCATGGCATTTCTCCACAGGAAATGATTATGTTCTGGGAGAAAATAACAGAGACCACCTCAGTTCCTTGCCACTAACTCAATTTTGTCCAACATCTTAACATTTGAAGTTTGGATCTTTTCCTTTAGACCAAGGTGAGGTGGAACTGTTGGACTGCTGGTGGTCTTCCAGACTCTGTATATCAGGCATGGGCAAACTTTCTAGCTTGGGGGCCGTGGGGCGGACTGGGAGGGAGTTGGTTGATGGTGGACAGGAGAGTAAAAGTGTATCCATGAAACCCCATATTGCCTACTCCTGATATAGAATCCTAGAGATGGAAGAGACCTCCAAGCGCCATCCAGTCCAACCACCTGCATGCAGGAAGGCACAATCAAAGCACTTCCAATAGACAGCTTCTATGGAAAAGCCTCCAGAGAAGGAGACTCCACCACACTCTGAGGCCACCTATGCCACTCGCCAGGAAGTTCTTCTTAATTTTTTCAGTTGACTCTCTTTCCCTGCCATTTGAACCCATTGCTCCCTTGTGCCCTGGGAGTTTTCCCCGTCCTCCTCAATGGGACACCCTTTAAAATCTTGAAACATGGTTCTCATGTTCCATCTCAGCCATCTCTTCTCCCAGCTAAACATCTCCCAGGAGGAAAGGAGGAGGGAAAAAGAGAAGGAGGAAGAAAGTGTGGAAGAGAAGGATGGAAGAGTGGAAGGGAATGGAGGGAGAAAAGAGAGAAGGAAGGAAAGACAAGAGGGAGGGAGGGAGGGAGGGAGGGAGGGAGGGAGGGAGGGAAGGAAGGAAGGAAGGAAGGAAGGAAGGAAGGAAGGAAGGAAGGAAGGAGAAAGAGGGAAGGAGGGACAAAGGGGGAAGGATGAAAGGGTGGAAGGGAAGGAAGGAGGAAAGGAGAAATAGGAGATAAGGAAGGATGGAAGGAAGAAGGAAAGAGAGAAGGAAGGATAGGATGGTGAGAAAGATGAGGGCCTGAGAAAAGAGCCCAAAGGACTGCATCTGGCCCCTGAGCCTGGGTTTACCCATACCTACTATAATACTGCTGATATGTGTGAGTTAAGGAGAACAATGGCAAGAAATGCTACTGTGACCCTCACCTTAGGAATCCAACCAGAATAGACATTCACATTAGAGTTTGCCATTCTGGATGGGCAACTCTAACTTTGAAACTCAGTCCTTCTATAAATGCTTTTGCACTTTGATTATATGTATATTGCTACCCAGTTTTGGAAACAACGACATCTGTTGTTTAGGGTGTCAACTGCCGGTCTATGCTGTGTTCTACGATTCTCCATTCTGTTTTGTCCCCTTTCTCCCCCCTGCACAGTTAGCATGGAATTCCCCTAACGGAGGCCTCCACCATATTTATGACTTGCCTTCTGCAAGTCCAGTGTGGACAAAGAAGGGCCTCAAATATAGATCCACAGGTCTGGACAGGTTTTTATGAGAACAGGGACAAGCCCCAGACTGGGCAGGGTTTGATCAAAGCAAGGATCTTGAATTAAGTCCATAGCTGCCAGTGAATTGGATAATGGCTTGAATCCAGTTTCTACTCCCAACTAGAACAAACACATTGCATCAGTGCTTGCTTATCAATTTGTCATTGACAATAGGATTTTTTAAGATCTACGTGAGCTGATCTGTTGGTCTCGGGAAAAATGTGATAGACCATATTCTGCCCCACTTGACATTTCCATCTTGTATTTAAGAGCGGCACCATATAAAGTAATCCAGTCTGGAAATGCCTTCCTAACATGTCATAATTGGGGGCAAGTCAGACTTCTTCACTTGCTTTCATATTAACCCGAGTTTATAAAAAAACAGGCATGGCCATCCATAGCACCTGCAGAATTCCTAAGCTCCTGGTCAGAGGAATGCAACAATAGGTCATTATTAGTTAATGGCTCAGAGAAGAATACATCAGTAAGTCATTACTAGTGTTAGTTTCCCACAAATTTTAACTATTTTCCTTATAACAACATTGTTTTTTAGTTGCTTTGTTTTTATATTAGCAATTTTTGATTTGTTAATAATACACAGGTATTGGACAGTATTAAAGGAAATATGTTGCTTTAAAATGTTTTTGAGGTCCTTGGTTTTGTATTGCCTAAGGCTTTCATAGCCGGAATCACTGGGTTGTTGTAGGGTTTTTTGGGCTGTATGGCTATGTTGTAGAAGCATTCTCTCCTGACATTTTGCCTGCATCTATGGCAGGCAAAATGTCAGGAGAGAATGCTTCTAGAACATAGCCATATAGCCTGAAAAATCTACAACAACCCAGTGCTTGGTTTTGTATTTATACTGCGTCTGTTACATTTTAGCCTGATATTCATCTATCGGACTTTAAGCAGGGCCTTTTATATGCTGTACAGTTATTCTAAAATGCCTTTTTTATTTGTTCCTTAAGGGATAGATAGGACCGTTCACAGAATGCTGGGGTGCTGTTGAAAAAACCAAGGGTAGCTTTGCTGCTGTTTACTGCTGTGAAAGTATTAACTAACCATTTGTTGCAGTAAACAAAACAAATAATTTAGTGGCTCCTTTGGAGGTCCCATTGGTGCAATAGGTTAAACCCATGTGCCGGCAGGACTGAAGACCGACAGGTTGGAGGTTCAAATCCGGGAAGAGCGCTGATGAGCTCTCTCTGTCAGCTCCAGCTCCCCATGTGGGGACATGAGAGAAGCCTCCCATAAAGATGGTAAAACATCAAAACATCCGGGTGTCCCCTGGGCAACATCTTTGCAGATGGCCAATTCTCTCACACCAGAAGCAACTTGCAGTTTCTTAAGTTGCTCCTGACATGAAAAAAGTGGCACTTTTAAATCTTATGGGTTCTGTTTGGAAGAAATAACAGACTGCCTTCTCTGCAAGTTGTTGGCTGTTAAAATACCTATCTTTGGTATGGGAAATTGGAGAATTAGAAAAGCATATGGAATTATAAATTAAAATACACATATGCTTATGATTTGAAGGGGAATTGGTACAAAATGATGTATCAATGGTATATGATACCCCGAAAATTGGCCAAAATGCTATAAAAATACATAAATTAAATGTTGGAATTGTGAATCCCGTGTGGGCACTTTTTACTACATGTGGTGGACTTCTCAAGAAGCAAAGAAATATTAAACGGAGATATAAGAGAAAATTTAAAAAAATTGTGGACATAAAGATAGAGATAAAACCAGGATATTTTTTTGTTAGAAATAACAAACTAACTAAACTAAATAACATAAATCAAGATAAATTATTCAACTATTTTATAAAGGCTACTAGAATAGCCTATGCAAGAAATTGGAGAAATAAAAATACACCATAGGGGATTCTCCCCTATGAGCCATCAAGGCTACTAAGATCTTCCGGGGGGGGCCCTGCTCTTGGTCCCACCACCCTCACAATCACGGTTGGTGGGGACGAGAGACAGGGCCTTCTCGGTGGTGGCTCCCCGGCTTTGGAACTCCCTCCCACTAGAGGTTAGATCTGCCCCCTCCCTCCTGACGTTCAGGAAATCGTTAAAAACATGGCTCTGGAATGCGGCATTCAAAGACTGAACCTGGAACCTTCCCTGTGATGGATTATGATGAACTGCGACTATGAATATGATTATGACCATGACTGGATTGACGATTTGGCGTAGGAAACTGTAATGATGTAATGATGAGGTTTTATTGTACTGAGTTGTACTATTTTAATATGTAATGAGTTGTATTTGCTGTTTTATCTGATTGTATTTGATATGTACTGTAAACCGACCTGAGTCCCTCGTCGAGGTTGAGAAGGCCGGTATAGAAATCCTCTAAATAAATAATAAATAAATAAAAATTATGGAAATCATGAATATGGACAGTTTAACTCAGTTATTACAGAAACCTCAAAGCTCACTGAAGGCCACGGACTGGCTATCTTTGAGAGAAAAGATGAGAATGATAATATGAAAGATTTGTCGTACAGGAATGCAGAGTGAAAGAGGAAGTGGCAAATAATAAAGTGAACTAAGGACAATAATTGACCACAATTGGAAGAATTGTGGAAGTCGAAGATTGGAAGTCGAACCCCCCCACTCATTTTTCTATGCCCTTCCCCTCCTCTCCCATTTTCCCTTAGTTGATATATTTTTCCTTCTTTTATCCCATTTTGCTATTTTATAATATTGTATTTTTTATTTTAATTAATAAAAATTATCTCTAAAAATACCACCTCTGTTGTTTTTTTTGCTTAAATAAAAGCATTATTCCCCTGGTGGTGCAGTGGTTAAACCACTGAGCTGCTGAACTTGCTGACCGAAAGGTTGCTGGTTTAAATCTGGGGAGCGGGGTGAGGAGCTCTCGCTGTTAGCCCCAGCTTCTGCCAACCTAGCAGTTCAAAAACATGCAAATGTGAGTAGATCAATAGGTACCACTCTGGCGGGAGAATAATGGCATTCCATGCAGTCATACCAGCCACGTGACCTTGGAGGTGTCTACGAATAATGACGGCTCTTCGGCTTAGAAATGGAGATGAGCACCAACTCCCAGAGTTGGACACGACTGGACTTAATGTGAGGGGAAAATCTTTACATTTGCCTTAAAAGCATTACACAAGGTTAAAGCTTGATTGTAGAAACTCTTTGCAGGTTTGTCAGTGTTCAGAGTCTATGTAGCTTAGCATAGTATAATAAATCTGCAGATGGAGCCTTGTTACTCCTGGACATTTTGTTTGCATTCTTCCTGCTCAGGGGAGTGGTCAAATGTGGTGCAGTTAAGCTTTCCTTTCCTCCCATCATTTCCTCCATGGACTCAATCACTCTTTCCCACGATCTTTCCCCAGTCCTCAGTCTCACCCATTTATTACACTGGCCGACACATATTTTGGTGCTGCAAATGTTAACCCTGTTTCTGGGTACATTTTCCCTGCCGAGTCCAAAAATGGCACCAGTTTCTCCCTTATCAGCATGCCATCTGTTAGTCTGCATCTGCTCACCCATAGAAAATAATTATAACCATATCTAAGAAACTAGAGCTGATGCAATCTATCCAATGCAATTTTCTGAATCAATGCCCCAAATAACTCCAGGAAGAAGCCTAAAAACAAGAAACCAAGATTTTTTTAAATCTTGTCATGATTTACATTTTGTTGTTATCATAGTACTAAAATTCTGTACCACTTTAACACTATAACTGTAAATCAGTGGTTCCCAACCTTTTTTAAAAAAAAAATCAGGGACCACTTGACCAGCAACCACTTTGACCAGGGACCACTCTCCAACATTAGTACCAATAGGGTTATGAATCAGTTTTTGGTCAACTTTAGATTTGGTTTGGGGTGCTAATTATGAAAAATGCATTGGATAGACCACATCAGCTCTTGTTTCTGATACAGAACATATGCCATGGTCAGCGACAGGGAAGGAGTGGCAGGTGGCACAAAAGGATCAGAAATTAAATAAATAAAGAGGAAAAAGTCTTGCGGACCAGATTTTTGTCCTCACGGCCCACTGCTCGTCTGCGGCCCACAGGTTAAATAAAAGGGAGTGGGGAGATGAAAAGAAATGCTTTAGTCAGTGTCTTGTAAGTTGCCTTACACACATCTAAGTCACTTTTATCATAGTGTGCCAAGGCCTATTCACTTGCTCTTTGTCCAGAAAGCTTCCAGCCCAGTTGTCGATAGTCTTTCTCATCAGAGGAAGGAAAGTTGATTTGAATCATGAAGATCCAGCCGCTCTGAGCTCCTATGGGAAAGGAAAAGATAGGTGTACTCCATTTGAGATCTCACCCTCA